AGTGTTAAAAACCTCCGGCATGTTTGTTTGGGTTCCAAACCAGAAGAACTTCTTTTTGGGGATGAAATTTTGAAATCGATGACAAGTTGTCAAATTACACTTTCCTCTTTCTTTCCTGTGGTTCCCCCAGCGCTGAGCTGGACCAAGCCCAGCTTTAGGGTTGGGACAATGGGAGTTGGATGTTGCCAACGGTGGTTGGGGACAGTTTGTAAGTTGGCTGCTGGTCTTGGAGGACAACCCTTCCACCCAGGCCACAGGGAAATGGTGCAGATATGGAATTTATTGGTTTTTCTTTCCAAACCCATCACAATTTTTCTGCAGCGTCATCTCTTGGTCAGGATCAGGTAGTTTCCCAGGGTTTTTTTTTGCACGTTGGGGTGATACCACCAAGGAGCAGCACTGGCGTCACTAATTCCTGATGGGATGCTCTTTGCAGGAGCTTCATCCTCATGATATCCCAACCCTGGTGCCAGTGTCTGGACATGCTGGAGAAGCTCAGCTGCACCGTTCCTTGGCCGCAGCCACCTGGAAACCATGAGCATGGCAGGAGTTAATTGTGGGTTGGGGTTTTTCCCCTATAAATAGTTGACTTCCAAGCTTGATGTGCAGTAGAAGGGGCTGTTGGGACAGCTCCAGGCTGAGATCTCCAGGGAGATGGGAGGGAGAAAAAAATAAGGCAGAAGAGAGAAAGGGCTGGGGGTAGCTTGGCCGTGGCCACCACCCTGGGGTTCCCAAGGCCACAGGGATCTTTGGCCTTCAGGCACCTCGTGCACATCTCAAAGATGGCATCTGGGAGACGCTGTGGTCTGACCACACGTTGTGGGACTGCAGGGCTGAATTTTGCCATTTTTGCAATTGGTACCAGGCGTGGAGGGAGCTGGGAGCCAGCACTGGGGGATGGCCACCACCTCAGAGGACCTCCATCCAGGGGGACAGCCACCCACTCTAAGGGACCTCCATCCTGGGAGACACCCAACTGGCATGGTGGACCTCCAATCTGGAGGACAGTCACCAGCCCCAGGGGATCTCCATCCTGGTGGACATTCACCTGACCAGGGGGAACTTCCATCCTAGGGGATATCCACCTGGCCAGGTGGACCTCCATCCTGAGGGACATCCACCCACTCCAAGGGACCTCCATCCTGGTGGACATCCACTTGCCACGGGGGATCTCCATCCTGGGAGACATCCAACTGGCATGGTGGACCTCCAATCTAGAGGGCATCCACCAGCCCCAAGGGATCTCTATCCTGGTGGACATTCACCTGACCAGGGGAAACCTCCATCCTGGAAGACATCCACCTGTCCAGGTGGACCACCTTCATAATGGGGGACATCTACCTGTCCCAGGGGACCTCCATCCTGGAGGACACCCACCCTCTTTGAGGAACATTCACCACCCCTGGGGGACACCCGCTAACATCCATCCCTTCTGTTGCAGACAGCAGCTTGTTGGAGAGCTACACGGAGGGGGAGATCCGGCAGCTGATCTCGGCGCTGGTGGAGCGTTACAGCCAGGCCATGAACTCGGGTGGCCACGCCCACGCCCTGCCTCTCTTCCCCCGGGCGGGCAGCCGCAGGAAACGCGCCCGTGCTCGCCACAAACCCTGCACCCTGAAGGAGCTGGAGGTGAGCATCAGCGAGCTGGGGCTGGGCTACGAGTCGGACGAGACGGTGCTTTTCCGCTACTGCAGCGGCACCTGCGAGGCGGCCGTCCGGAGCTACGACCTCTCGTTGAAAAGCATGAGGAGCAAGAGGAAGATCAAGAAGGAGAAGGTCAGGGCTCGACCTTGCTGCCGGCCGCTGGCCTACGACTACGATGTCTCCTTCTTGGATGCCTACAACCGCTACTACACCGTCAACGAGTTCTCAGCCAAGGAGTGTGGCTGCGTGTGAAGGGCCGGGGCTCCCCCCCAGGAGGAGCGGGTGGGAGAGGTGATGCCCCGGCCCCAAAACCCCGCTGGGCACCAGGCAGAGGGACCGGGGGCTGCGACGGGGGCAGAGGGACCAGCCCTAGACCTCTGGCTGGAGGAGGAGAGACTGAGCTGCTGGTGGGTCACTCGGT